CTGGAAAGGACTGCAGGAATGTCAGGCAGCTTTAAGCTGCTTGGGGAAAATGTAAGTGTAGGAGGGAGAGAAGACAGAAAACGATGCTATGAGAAGGCACAATTGTAATGACCACATTCAAGCTCCTGGAGGGAGCAGGAATAAAACCCCACAATAAATCACAGATTTCATGAAGACCATACAGCACAAAGCATCAAGGTTTCAGGACGATTTAGGAGCTTGAACACCACTCAGAACTGTACCTCTGCTCCAAAGGCAACGAGGGCTTTTGCAAAATCTCCCACTCACGTGCCATAGGAGGGTTTTGGGAGGTGGTGGCACTTGGCTGCCCAGGTCCAAGGCTTTGATGGTGCCTCTGCAAACCCAGGGAGCAGCTTGCTGCAAGCCTGCAGGCTGAAAGGCACTCCTGAGACACATGTCCAGAAACCATGCTGCAGGTAACATGCTAACACACACACAAAAAAAAGTGGAGAAAGAGAGAGAGGAAAGCAAAGCTCATCTGCATTGATGTACTCAGCTTGGGCTGGTGGTATCCTAGTGTGCAAGAGTGCCCTGAGCTCCAGCACCATTGCAGTGTGGGGCTGTCTAAGACCAAAGCTTGGGCCATTGCAAACTTCTGCTGCAGGCTGAATGTTTTCAGTCTGGTGCAACTCACCTGTGGCTCATCAGTGTGCACCTAAAGGAACTGATCAGTCAGCAGGGGACCCACATCTCTCAAAATATTGGGCCAGTGCATTGTTGATGCTCAGCATCAAACCTCCCTCCTGTGCTGTACCTCTCTGAAAGTCACACAGATGCAGCACAGAAATTTCTGTTGTCTGCCCAAGCCGGGGTTCTGAGTGTTGCCATGAACACCCAAAAAAACCAAGACAAACAGCACAGTGACTCAGAGTTACGTGTGAGGTTGGTTTCACGTCCACGTGAAAAGAGCTCCCCATCTCACTTCTGCTCATGGGGCGGGTTGAGAACAGCCCATGGTAAAGGCAGCAGCAGCATTTTGCTTCAGTTTCCTGGGTTTTGCTTTGTTGTGCAGGCAGCTCACCCAGAAGCTGCGCAGCACTCGAGATCAAGATAAAGGGCTGCAGAGCAATAGAGCCCCAGCAATAGGAAAAACAAAATAAATAGGCACAGAGAGCAGAGAACCGCAGCCGTTGGGTGGCAATGCTCAGTGCTGGCTCTTGTGGCTGTTACACAGGGGGGAAGAACATGAAGCATGACTCAACCCAAGGGCAGAAAATGGCTTTATGGGCTCTAAGTCCTCCCTTCAAATCACGTTTGGAAATAAGGATGCGCCTTTGTGACAGATCAATGCAAACAGGCTGAGTGGGGCCAAGGTCAGAGAAGAGAGCACCAGAGTCTCAGTGGCAATCTGCTTTCTGGAGGTGGATTTTAATCCATTTCTTGATCAAAGCCTATAATTGCATCATTTTGCAGGACAGTAATAGCTAATGGGAAAGGGTAAATATTGTTTGCAGGTGTCAGGAGATAAAATAGAGGAAATCTCAGGCATTCCACCCACCAAGCCCCCACATCTCCCTCACCACAACTGGCAGCAGCAGGCATGGGAAAGGGGAGAGCAAAGTGTCTGAGACTAAATATTGTTTAAAACCAAGACCTGCTGCAATTAATCCACGTGCTCTTACATAAACAGTCTCCCTCCTGTCCGCATCTGCAATCCTTTTTTTTCCCCCTCCTCTTTTTGGGAGGAAGGCTGTGTATTTTGCTGCCCAGGGAAAACTATGCTGCATCCCTGATGGGTCCAAGCAGTGCTGCTGGTACAGGTGGCTGTAAACACAAATATAAAGCAGTTGCAAGCAGTCCTTGGCAACCATAAAAGTCAAGAGGTGCTTTGCAATGGTGAAAAAGCATCATTTACTTAAACAGAGAAACTGGGACATGGGGACACACCTGCTCATTGAACAGCAGCTGCAACATCTCACACCTACTGGGGGATTTGGGAGCTGTTCTCAAGGCTTCGGTGGACTGGGTGAGGGGTTGGTGAGTAAAATTGGTCAGAAAATGATTTTGTGTCCAGGGAAATTTTGAGTGAAAGTGAGACAGGGAGGAAACGTGCTGAAAAAGGTCAAATTCATCTCAAAAAACACAGACAGCTCTATGCTTTGACAAAGTTACCCTTTTCAGAAGGAAGCTGATATTTTCCTGTGCGTGATGGTGTGTCCTCCATTGAAGAGAAGCTGCCTTAGTAGAAACTATTCCAGCAGCCTAAAAAACATCACAGAGATGTTTGAGCAGACAGAAATCCTCTCAAATGCCAAATAGACAAAAGAAAGAGTTCTGTTAAAACCGAAAGATATCACAGACTTTCAGATGTGAAACAGCCAAAACAGGTGAACACTGACATCCCTGCTCCTCACCTGCCCCAATCAGACAGAGCCCTCCTGGGAGAACCCAAAGCCTCCACTGAAAACAAATTCTCCTTTTTTGGTTTGGTTCCCCAAATCAGCCTTCATTTTTTCCTCTTCAGAAACCAAAAGCCTACAGGATCAGATATGTCGAAGCCCTGTCTTCTGGTTTTGTTTGCTTTTAATGGGAAAACTTGGAAGGGAAGAAACCAATCCCAGCCACAATTTGCTCTCAATAAAATCCCCATTTTCCACTGATACATTATGGATTTCATACAGCCACAGAGGTTTTTCCCTCTATCAGAAAACATTCACAGCTACAGAAGACACAAGTGGTGCAGACTCACTTCCATTTAAATACCAACAAAGAAGTAAAGCTCCTCTACCTTCCTCCACCCATTTCACCGGTGCTGAGCAGCCAGAGCATCCTGCTGGCTGGGATTTCACCTCCCTCCCACCACTGCACATAAAGCTGCAGTTTGTTAACGAAGCCCTTCTGTAATTGTATCCCCACCTCACGCTGCTGTAACCTTCACCAGTCTCTAAATGAACAGGCTCAGCTCTTTTGATCCCCATTTTGCCTCCAGCTCCATCCCCCAACCCCAAACTTCCTCCACTCTGCCTCGTAAAAGGATTTCTCCCCAAGAAACATGGTTGCTGTTTTACTGATAGGGTCAGGACCTTTCCTTTTTTTTTTGTTTTATAGCCCGCTGGGGAGCTAGGCTTTCCATCTGGGGAGATATGTAATGCAATCCCAAAATAACAGTGCAGTGCCCCATGCACAGAGGAGGGACCAAAACAGTCACCCCAAGGTGCAGGATCAGCACCACACAAGATCTTCCAAGAGGAAGATTTATCTGTATGTGTGTGTATTTACTCCATAGCCACTGTTTCTGTGTGCTGCACCTAACACAGAACTCCCCCCAGCTTCCTCCAGCTTATAAGAACCAATCTGTTCTTGCCCTTAAGGTGGGGGGCTGCTGGCATCGATGGAGCTCTAGCTCCCATCTCCCTTATACAGGGGAACACGACCTGCACCAGACATTCAAGGGCAGGCACTGGTTTTTCTCCTCTCAGGAGTAGCTGCACACCACAGGAGCACTGTGGAGAGGAATATAGAAGCACCAAAAGGAACCTCAGGTTACCAGGTCCATGGGCACACTCATCTAGGGAGCGCTGACTCAGCCTGAGATGCCAGCCCACAGAAGAAGTGGGTGTGCTGGCAAACCCACCCCAAGCAGCCCTTTTTGACAGATCTTCCCTTTTTCTTGTCTTCCACTCATCCTCCCTTCCAAAAGAGAGGAAGCCTATAAAGGCACAATGCCCTTCAACATTTTAGCTGTCTGCCTCTTGCTGTGCTTGGCACAGCCCAGCCACTTTTTCATTCACCTGTAATAATCATTACTACCACCATTACTCTTAGTATCACCCATTATCGTAATTAAAAAGACACCCCTCCATCCTCACACATCCAGGTTTGCCTTGCTACATTTTGACGTTGGCTGCTCCAGGTCGTTCCCAAGACTACAGCGCCCAAATCCAAATGCAACCAGGATGGTGATGTGAAGTTTCTGTGGCTGCCAGAGCAGCACAGTCAGGCTGGTTTGCATTTGAAATCCATTAAAACCAGCAGACTGCGTTGGTGAGGTGAAGGGTTTAGGATCCCTTATGCTTAGACCTATAGAGCAGTCAGCTGCAGCGTCCAGACTTGGAAAAATTCAGCTTTGAAGCCTAGGGGACATCTCAAGCATGGCTACAACCTGCACCGTCCCAGGTAGGCCAACAGGTAAAGGAATGGGAGAGCATTATTTAAGCTGAAAACTCAATACGGAGGGGAGGTTTCCACTAAATCTATCCCAAGATCCCTGGATATCCATCTTAGCACCCTTGTTTTACCTCCTGAACAAACCCATGAAGGTGTCAAAAATCCCAAAGAAAGGCTGGATGCCCAGGTAGTAAAGGGCAGAACCCACCCCAAGGCCTTTGCAGCTCATGCTGCCTCTGCCTACATCTGCTAAGCCACCAGAAAGAGCCATTTCAGTCAAAACTCACAACCCTACTTGGCAGGGCACAAATCCCCAGGGCACACACAGCTAAGTGCTGGTGTATGGCAGGCAGGGAGGCTGAGGATGATGCTGTCAGCAATGGTGTACTCAACAAACAAAGCCCAAACACCTACAGAGGTCGCTTTTCCAGCCACCTTTTCCCATCCTCCCCTTTGTTAAAATGTTTGCTGTTTCCAACATGGACAGGAAATCAAATTAAACGTTTTTCCCTCGCAACCAAATAAACATCAACTTATTTTAGAAACACAGCTTGGAAAGAAACACGTAAGCTCTTCCCAAATCCCCTGTCTCTTCCCAGCTCCCTGATAAGACCCCTGTGACATTATTTTCTTTACAAACCATAATGGGAGGAACAAATGGTAGAGAAAGGCACGCGTCCCCCATTACCCTGCTGTCCTCACCACGCATCAGCCCACCTTTGTCTTTTCAAAAGGGGTTTTCAGTTTTGAAATGAGTGTCTGTGTGCATTCGTTGGTTCTGAAGAGGCAGAGGGAGGGTTTTAACCAAACAGATGCACTGCTCCTTCCATAGCTGCGTTCTAAGAAGAATTTAAAAAAAAAAAAGACAGGGGGATTTGGGATTTTTCTCCTCATTTCGTGAGAAATAATGGGGTGTATTGACTGGTTATTTTCGTGGGACAAAAGGATGGGCTTGGAGGCAGATCGGGCCCTCAGCACAGCACACCACTAGAGGGCCCAGAAAGTGCTTTTCGGTGATGCTGGAACCACCCTCCACAGTCACCTTAAAAACAGCATCGCCCACAGCCTCCAGAAAGTTATGGCTAAAAAAAACCAGCAAGAATAAACAGTCAGAAAAGAGCCAGAATTAAAAAGGCACCAGTGGTTATTTGGTATTTCACTACAAGACTCCCAGAAGTTCATAACCTTGTAACACCAAACGCTCATGCACTCCTGCAACTGTCAGGGCATTTACACCAATTTATGATGTGTGCTTCAGCTGTATTGGCACCCAGCTACACTTGCTCTACTGGCACAAACGTTTTCAGCCATGGCAGCCCCAGGCTGAGCTCTGCCATGTGCGCCCCATCGGCTCCAGGCTGCCGTGGCTTTTGATAATTATTTCTCTTGGGCTTTTTAAATTGCTTTTCCACATTCCTCTCTGCAGCGTAAAGGGAGCAGCTTTTCCTGGAATTATGCAGTTTGTAATATTTAGCTGCCCATTCTCCTACGGAGAATAGATGATGATTTTCATGTTAAGGGGAAATAGAGGTAGAGAGACATTTTTCTTCCAAAAAAGGGGAAAAACTCCAAGTTCGGAATCATCCCACTGCCCACCTCTGCATGGATCTGAGCAAATTCCTCGACTTCCATCTACAAGCATTTCCCCAGGGCACTGGTTCATTACTTGCCACAATTAAATCGCCTTCAGCCTGGGCTGTATTGATTGCAGCACACTGCAGGCCCTGAGCAGAATCTAAATCTCAATCCAAAATCTCCACATCCTTAGGGTAGGGAGGCTCTGAGATGTGACCCTTTCTCTGCATGCTCTTGTGTTTCTGCAAGACCAAATTGGTGCAGAGGACACTGCTTTGCCCCAAATCACTCCCAGGTTCCCAGGCTGTGGACAACCCCCTTAAACCATTCCTTGACACCACAGGAGCCAGGACCCATGTTTTTTTATTTGCAGTGAGGTCCCTAAGTGCTGTCTCCTGTTAATTGCCATCTCCTGGAACTGCACCTCCAGCCCCCTCCCAAATTAACCCCATCACTTAGCTAAGTCCTGAGGGAGCAGAGGCATTAACAGCAAGTAATGCCTCCTCAGAAACACCATCAAGACAGAGCTGGGAAATGAAATCTCTAATAGGGACAGTAATGAGGGGAGGGGGGTGAGGATGGAGGTCTCTGTCCTGGAGGAGAATGACACATGGGCTCTGAGCTGAGCTGCTCTCATGCAAAGCCCAGAGACCAAAGCAATGATCTCAGCCCAGCACCTCACATAAATAACATGATTCCAGCACCAAACTGAGTTCTCAACAGTGCTGCTCAAGCAAATAGAAGAGGTTAGAGAGCAGAAGGACAGCAGATTGTTGGAGCAGAGGAGGGGAGGGCTACAGAGATGGGGAGAAACCTACAGGGCAAAGCACACGAGGGGCAGCTGAAGTCCTGTAGTTGGTTTGGCTCAGGTAAGAGAAGGCAGAAGGCAGGCATCATGGCAGTCCACAGCTCTTCACAGATGATGATGTTTCCTGCAATTCTGGCCGTGACCTGACCTGGTTTTGCTATCAAATGAGGCTGTGGCTGCTGCTGACCTGCTGTGCACGCTGCCCGGCAGGCGGCCTCCCCTCCCTGCTTTGTCTGCCCATGGCGCTCACTTCCTTTGACGTCTTTAGGATGAGTGTGGAGCAGAGGTGGCTCCATGGGGTGGGCCAGATGATTTTGCAGCGTCCTGAATCATAGCAGTGATTCCTTCAGGAATTGTGGCAACACATGGAGATAACCCAAGGAAATGCTGGATCAGGATGGAAACCTGCCTGCCTTCCTCCAGCACCGCCATGCTGAGATAACCGCATCGCTCATCAGCAGCTCCAGTGCTGCCAAATGCACTTCTCTCATCACATGGATCTGAGATCCTGGCTCTCTGCACAACCAACCCCTCCAGGCGCCCTAGAGATGCTCAACATGCAGCCAGCTTCCAAAAAAAAAAAAAAAAATCTATTATCAGAACTGGTTATGCAAGGGAGCAGCCTATGCAGTGGGGCTAAATGCTGACTTTTGCACCTCTGTTTATCCCAATGCCCCAAACACCATGTATAGGCTGTGTCCTTCCCATCCAGCCACAGGTATCTTAAATGATCCCTGTTCACTTTCTCCCATCCCACCACAGCAAGCCACCATTCCATCACGTTTGAGAACAGGAGTGAAAACCCAGAGCTGGCAGTGGATGATCCTACTGCTAACCCTTAACTGCTCTATGCCATGCTGCAAAGAAAGCAGCTCAGCTGCTGCAGCTCCCCTCTCCACTCCACATACCTTACTCCCCCAAACCCCTGGAGCTGAGCTGCAGGGCAGTGTTAGCAGCCAGCTCAGTGGCCTTGGCTCATCCCTGCCGGCCTCTTCCCTGCTCCCTGTCCCTATTGTTCACAGGGCCTGGCCCTGACCCCATGTATTTATAACCCCCCCTTTCCGGCACGGCATTGTGTGCACCCCACGTCCTGGATGAGCCGGGGCTCAACTCCACGCTTCCTCGCCTTCCTGTTTACGGGGCTCAGGAGGATCCAGCCCTGCCCACTTCTCAGCTGCTTCCGTAAAACCCTCAGTATCCTTCCAGTAGAGAGAGATGGCTCTGGAAAACACTTCAGTTCCCTGAAATTTGGAGAGGGAGATAACATTGCCCAGTTGCAAACATGGCATGCACACATCTGGCTTGCAAACCCTGATGGGTTTTTTCTGTCCCAAAACAGAGAAGAAAAAAAGCAATGAGTCCTGCTAATAGCAGAGCATCTCCCACATTGCTTATCTATCTCCTGAATCAAATTTTGTTGTGCTGTATTTCCTCCAGTACACATACTTCACACCAGGCAGCCTGGTCAGGGCTGTCTCAAGTTCTTTTACCTCCATGCAATGCTGTATAGCCCCAGCACAAAACCCAGACTCAGAATTGGACTCAAAGTTGTCTTTTTCTTCCTTCCAAGATCAAACAAAGGGTGGAACCTTTTTGGTTCCAAATACATAGCCATGTCTCAACTAAGACAAGGTTTGTACTCATGGTTTGCTAGGAAAGAAAAAAATCACCTATGCTGTGATATCAACAGCAAAGCCATTTATTACAACAGATGGGACTTTTTGCCCAGATACCTTTTGTTATTTAAAAGGCAAATCAGTATCACTGGCAAAGCAATTATGCTTGCCAAGAGAGCAGGCAGGCGGTCCCCACAGTGACCTCCATGACAAAGCCAATCCCAAGCAAGACAGGGCTCAGACATCTCCTGTCCCCACTTCCATCCTCTCAGCACTGCACAAAGGGATGATTTATCCCAATTTTCCCCCTTTATTTTTTGCTAAACAGTAACCCCAGCACGTGTAAAGCTGATCTACCCTGTGCCTCACACAGCCACAACCGTCAGCAAGATCCCCTCCGACCACGCAGTGGGAATTAAACAAAGCAAAACAAGAAACCTCCCAACCTTAATCTCACTCTTGCAAAAGCTGGGTGGAGCAAGCGCTCCAGGAAGCCCCCATTCAAAGCCATTCATTAGTCAAGAGCTGTACAAATAATTATCTTTACTGCTGGATGCCACTTCCCCAGCTCACAACCTCAGGGTCCAGGTGGGGACGTCACTCCCCACGTCCAGTCATTGCTAGAGGAACACTGGGAGCTTTTTCCCTTCCAACATGCAAACAGCAGCATGCAAACAATAGCCTGGCGTCAGCAGACACAGCTGGGGCAGCCCCAGCCTCTCTGCCATTTGCAATGCTGCAAGGTTTGTTTTCTCCCCATCTCCCAGCCACAAGTGGATCATTCCCTCCTGAAATCCCACCTGGAGCCATCAGCTGGGAGAGGCTCATGGCCCCCCCAGCTGTCACTTCACATTTATTCTTTCTCTGGCTTTGACAAAAGGCAAATATATTTCCAGATGTTTCCTACCCAGAGCTGGGACTGTGGGCTTAGGCTCATGGGCTCTGGGCTGCCCACTCAGTCAATGGGCTTGACTGCCATGAAGGAGCAAACACCCATTGTTCTCATTCCTATACCTAGTAACCCAAAGCTTACAAGGTATACAAAAAGATTTCATAAAACTCTCAATGAAGGAGCAAGCAGATGGATACCACAAGCCATTAGAAACCCATGGCAAAGTTCTTTAGGATGGATGGACAAAAAATGTAGGCTGACAGAGAGCCCTTGCAGAGAGAAAAGGTAGCCTTCCAGCATTTCCTCCTATTTTCCAGTGCATTTTGAATATTGGGTGGATACAAAGAAGACCTTGAAGTCCTTCCCTACTTATGTCTATCCCTTCCACTGATGGGAGTGTGTGTAGCACTGCCCAACCTCCGCAGGTGGGAGATTTGATCTACCTACATGGACAACAGCAGGTAATAAGAACAATTAATAAGAGCAAAAGATGCTCTGGAAAGAGAAAGTAGAAATTAAGAAATAGAGTCATACAATGCAATGCTCTGAATGGCTCCACAGATTGGACTGTGTCAGTACAACAAACCTCAGAAAGAAAGAGCCTAGATGGAAACAAGAGGTTAACTTGGGAGGCACAGGATGAATTTCCTAGGCAGGTCTCACTAGTGCACTGTATCCTCTAAAGCTTATAAATCTATTAACTCTGGACTGCTAAGCTAATTACAGCTGGTTACACTTCCAGCTAATAAAATATTTGTCATGTTTAAGGCACGTGGGAGTTTTTCTTCGGCTTAACCAAATCACCCTGACAATTCCTTGAACTAAAGAGATTCCCAGCAGCATTTTTGCCAGAGGTTGGAAGAAGAAAAATAAAATCAGATTATGTGCAATGATGAAAAGGAGCTCTCAGGCAGCTTCTCCAGCCATAGTGCACAGCAGCAGTGCATGCACAACTCCAGCATCACTCCTCTCAACGACCCAACATCAGGAATAGAGGTGCATGGAAACTCTGGGTTTGAGCACAGCGTGACCCATCAGACACTTGGGTTCCAGAGGGTTCAACATTTTGGCATCATCCCAACACCAATTTGGCATGATTTGTGCTCATGTCTTGGGGAGCCTGGGAGAATTCAAGTTCACCTTGCTGCTTCTTTGGTTCATCTCTTGGGACACTTCGTGGTACGTGTTTAATTCAGCAAAGGAAAAAAAGCCTTTTGAACACATTTCCTCATCTAAAGGCAGGTTTTTTTCCTTCTATTTTTTTTTTCTTCTACCCCTTATTTTTTAATGGACTTAATAAAAGAGGAAATGTATTAGCCAAGTCCAGCCCATGTGCTTTTAATAACTCAATTTAATTAACATCCCCCAAACTGTCTTATTAAAACTAAATTAAATCCTTATTTGAGATCTTTAATAGATCACACAGACTTTGTGCAGAGACAACTGCAGCTGTGGGAGTGCCAGAAAAGAGAGCAGAGCTTTGCTTCACTCACCCTGCAGTCAGAAGAACCACTGCTAACTCACTGGGCAGAGATGGACAGTTGTCTGAAAAGAAGTAAAATTTGGTTCTGCAAGGGATTATGCAGTATAAACCCTTTCCATGGTGCTTTACATTTATCTAAGGCATGTTTTACACAATGAAATTGAGAGCGGTTGGGTCTGTAACACCATAAAGCAGTGGAAAGCACAGCAGTGACAACAGTGCAGCAAAGTCACAGGTTGCAACAAGTGAGAATATGCTCAACACAGCAGCTGTGGACACAAAAACAGAGGGGAAAAACAAATCTGCTTACCTTTAGAAGGCCTCAGGTATACAGGGATCTCCAGCAAGATCCCCTCACCTCCATTGCAAACCCTTAAATGAGGGCTGGGAAGGGGTGGATCCTGGCTGCAGCCCTTCCATCACTCAGTGCATTGCATGCACCTGAGCAGCCCTGTGCTGGCCCTGCCTTCCCCCCGTGACTCCTTCCCTCCATCACTGCTTCAGGCTGTCACTCACCATTTCCACAACAGGTGCAAATTTCTGTCTCTCCCTTTTCCTGGGGATCTTTGCTCTTTTACTTGAAAAATGAGGGTGTTCATATTAAATAAGAATTTCCTTTAAAAATGCACCATTTTAAAGGCGTCCCACACAGGAAAGAAGTTTGGTTTTGGGTTTTGCTGGAAACAAGATATTCATTTTAACAGCTGATGTGGAGGAGCTGGTGCCATTTGGTGGGGCCTCCAAGGCTTCAGCACCTCACCCCCCATCTCATCTCTCTGTGCCTTTTTCTGTTTACCTCCATTTTTCTCCCGTTTTCCGTTCCCTTTTCCATGTTTTTTTGTCACTTTGTGTCTCGCTGCCTTTCCCCCTCACCTCACCCAGTTTCGATGGATGTTTGCATACCATGGAACTTCTGGGCCAGTGCTTCTCATCCCATTTTCCCAGCAGCACCTCCAGAGCCAGAGAGCCAATGGAGGCAGCGTCTGCTTTCCATCACACCTGCCAGGCAGGGCTTAGATCTCCTCCAGTTTAAGACATGTCAGTGCATTAAATATATCCAACCAGATTAAAACCATGTTCAGACAAGGCTGGCTTGTGGCCGCTGTGGCCCGGTGGGTTGGAGTTCAAAGGAGCTTGTTGGGGGCGATGGCCTGAGATTGCACAGCCCCTGCTGAGGATGCTTTGGGCAGACAGATGGATTGAAATAATTCACTGGGGGTTTTAATGATGGGATTTTATTTGGCATCTACCAGCTCTTGTTGACCACTGAGGTGATGCTGAGCGCACATGCTCTGGATGGATGGGGTCGGTAGCAAGGCTCAGCTGCTGTGCTCACTGCAAGAATGTGGAGCTGCCCCAGGGCATCTGAAATGGTGGGAATGGGCTGCCCCAGTGTACAGTATCAGCCTGGGAGATGTCTCAACTAAATGTGAACAGCACTGTGTAAAACAATGGATGCAAAGAGCAGAGAGCTTGGGCGCAGTCAAGAAAGTGGGCTCAAATCCTTTAAATCCAGCTGGCCAAGAGGTCAGCACTCAGAAGGGCTGCAGATTCTCTCTCTGGGGCCAGCAGTGCTCAGTCACAGCCTGCATTCCCTGGGCAGCAGTGGGAAGAGGGTGATTCATCTGGTTGGGAGCCACAAAGACACCCTGTCCCATCAAAATCTAGAGCCTGGGGCACACGAGGAAGGGCTGCCCAAAGGGTTAAAGGCAGATCCAAGCTAATAAATGTGTGAGAAGCTCAATAATGTGAGTTAAAATGCCACCATTTCATCATTTTGCTGTAAGAAACAAAGAGCCGGCAGCTGGTCGTTTTGCAATTCTGTTGACCATGATTTTCCAACCCCAGATCCATTCCTGCTGACGTTAGTGGAGTTATATCACCTGGAAAACTGCTCCAAATGTGTCTCAAGCAGCACTGTTTACTGAAGCTTCCTTCATTAACAGTTTCTCTGGTGCAAATCCATGCTGAAACCAGAAAAGACATCTGTGGAAAAATTAAAATAATAATAATAATAAAAAGAAAAACCAACAAAAATGTTTGTGAATGGAAGGGGAAGGAGATTTGAATCATCGGCTGCTGGAAAACTTCTCTCATCTATTTGTTCCCAGGCTTGACATCTCAGGAAAAAAAATAAATAAATAAAATACCACTTTCCAAACTCAGAGAAGGGTCTGAAAAGGTTAATCCCAGCACAGCTCTACCATCAGCCCTTCTGGAAGCTGTGCTCCCGATGGAAAGTGTTCTCACTGGGGCTGGGATTGGAGGAGGGATTAGCCCAGCACTGTGTTTGTGCTGTGACTCTTTAAAGATGGGAGATAAGGATCCTGTGATAATTGTCTTCGAGCAAGGAAAGACAAATGCTCGTGTCTTGTTTTCTGAATGCTCGTGCAACTTGCAGCAGGAAGTGCTACAGCCTTTGGGAAAACCCATTTTTCTTATAAATCCATGAGAAGGGGAGGAGAAAACCAGCATGGCACCTCACAGGAGTGGCTCCAGGATAAAGGAAAACCACTGCCTGAAGTGCCGAGCAGCAGTGCAAAATGAATTCATGCAAAGAGCAAACTTCTGTGCAGTAGCTGACGACGTGCAAGTATCCTCATGGGTTTTATTTGTCTTTTCCCTTCCCCCTGTGCATTCCTTCACCCCGAGCATCCTTTTCATCGAGCGGGGTGTCCTCGCACGGAGCTCTGCAGTCCTTTTCTCCACAGCAATGTGTGCACCTGGGGGAAAGCAGGGAGACATCAAAGCTGCAGGAGCCTGGCACACAGGAGCTGGGGGCTGGTTGTGCGGGCTGCAGATGGCAAATGGCTGAACCCATCTCCAGCTCGAAGAGGAGAGGTTAATGTGGCCATTAATAGATGGGCTCAGGAGATGAGACATTGAAAGGGGAGGGGAGGAGGCACCAACACTGCGTTTGATCCCTCTCTGGCGTTCCCCAAAAGCCACCATATGCCCAGCACCTGATAAACTCTATTTATAAACCTGGAGGAGGAGAAGGCAGGTCATAAATCTCCCTGCTTTTCTTTTCTCTGTGGATCAAGAGGAAAATTAAAACCACGTGCTCAGTTTCCCAGGGATGCCCCATCCTCCTGCCCACGTGCAGAGGTGGCCGTGGGATCAGCCCATGAGCTGAGGGGTCCATGGCTGGACTCTCCAGCCTTAATGATTCTGTAATTCTATGTTTCTCTGATTTCACCCAGGTGAGACACTGGAGTCTCAGGGAGAAGAAACTGTGAACATGTTTTTGTGGGTTTTCATGAAAATCCAAGGCTCTGGGGCCATGAACTTGCTGCTGAAACTTCTTCTCATGGCTCCTATGAGGACCTTATTCCCTTATGTCATTACCAAAGCTCTGTTACTGGGAAGCAGAAGGCTGATCACTTTTGGTAGGGAGCCAAACCCTGAATTGTAGCAGGCAGGAACAGCAGGAACCACAGTTACCAGCAGGCCTGTGTAACATGCAGTGGAGGTGCTCTCAGATCTTCTAAGGGGTTGAGCTTGCACTGCTCTCTACACTCGTGCCACATTTGGCTGCTGCATCTGAACTGCTGGGCATGAGGGCAGGCACCAGGCAGCCCCACCAGGCCCAGCAATCAGTGCAGTACTGTGCAGCACTGGAGCAATGGTGCTAATTCAGACAGAGTCGTCTGATGGGGAAAGCGATGTTCTTTGTGCCATAGCTGTGAGCGAAGGGTCAAAGGCCGCTGCCACCAAATGTGACCCACACGGTTGACCCCTCGTGGAGGCTCAGAGCACATCAAGATGCCAGAAGCCATTGCAAAGGCACTGAGGCGGTGATGCAAGGGATGGGGAGGGAGCGGTGCTCCTCGTCCCCACTGAGCAAGGCGGGGTGAAAGGCGAGCTGTGCCAGTGACCCAAAGGGCAGGGCAGAAGCAGGAGCAGATGTTAAACAGAAGCCTGCAGTGTGGCTGTGGCTAGCAGGAGCCTGCCCTGGAGGAAATGACCCCGCGTAAGATGCATTGTCACTGAGATTTCTTAACACGGGATGGCAGCTAAGTGATTAGGATGAGCTGAGCAGGGCCAGCAGCCACTAAAAATGCCAACAGGCAGAAAAGATCTGCTCTCGGGACCACTCTACTGTTTGCATAGTATTGGAATTAATTTTTTCCCAATTTTTTTGCTTTTTTTCCCCCCCATTCCTCTGACTTTTTGTACTGCGTTGTTCCCTGGGCTGGAAATACAGAGAGTGGGAATGCCTCCTGTCAAAAAAAAACCAAAAAAAACAAAAACAAAAATCCAACCTATTGATAAGCACTTTTCAGTACAATTTTGAAAACGAGGAAACTGAGGCCTGGCATTTGCACTCCCCTTTGGATGAGATGGAGAATTGCAGGCTGGGCTGCTCTGTTCAATCCTGGCCAAAATAATCCTGGCTCCCTGAGGACATGTGCAATGTGTGTCTGCCCAGAGCGATGCCACCCAGTGCTGTGCTGTCTGAACCCCTTCGTAACCCAAAGGGAAAACAACAACAACAAAAAGAAAGAGAGAAATCAAACCAAACAAACCAAGTGGCCAAACTCCCTCCGAAGAGCCTCAGTTCTCACGGCCGGCAGTGACCGGCGGCAGCCAGGAGCCTCCATGCACTGCTCCCCCGCAGGGCTGTCCTGCAAAAAAAAACCTTGGGGTTTTATTTAGCATCATCAGAGCAAAGGAAAAAGGGCATATTTCAAAGCCACAAATCCCACAGGGAGGAGAAACCTGCACTGCCCAGCAGCCCTTCCAGCACGGCTCTAGGTAGCGTGGAGCTGGCGGCTCCCCGAAGGGAGGGAGCCCCACCATGACGGATGCATCCCCTGAGCACCATAAAAGCCAAAGCCGGATAGATTTACATTATCCAAACATCTCACTGCTCCCAAAGCCATCCGGGGGCAATGGAGGGAGGGAGGCTGCTCCGGTGCCCAACTTTTTCCAGCATTCTCCCCCAGTTAAACCCATTGATTACCCCAGGAGAGGGCATGTCATGGGCTCCATGCCCCAAGGAAGCTGCCCGCTTTGCCCGGAGAAATGAGCTCAACACAAGCCAGTGCCTGACTCCAGGGATTCTCCCACTGAATCTGCAAGAACCACACTTTTGGGATAGGATTGTGCATAAAAGGGAAAAAGTAGAAAAGAAAATAAAGAAGAAAAGCAGTAAAATGCAGCCCAGCACTGCTCGTTTCCCAAGCTTCCAGCACCAACCATAGCGCAGGGAAACAGTGATCACTCAATAAATGGGAGCACGATCTCAAGCATTGGGAAAAGCAACATCTGAAGTTTCCAGAAACATCCCACAGCACCTGCGTAATATTTTTTCTTGCTGCCTCCCCCTAATTGCATC